CTTAAACTCCAGGCTTGTACATCCAACTGCATAAAACATTATAGTTTATGTTTTATCTAATATTCAAATAATCCTGTAAGCCAACAAATATTATCCATTTTACAGGGGAATTACTTGTGATTGAAGAGCTCACCTAACCTCTCATCTGCGTTATTATTTGCTTAAGAAAAATCTATAAAAGTGATTTTTTTTTTAGTATTTTAGTACAAAGGTCTACAGGGTCTCACTACGCAGATCAGACTTGTAGTGATCCTCCTGTTTTCAACCTCACAAGCACTGGGATTACAGGCTTGCACCACCATGCCTAGTCTCAATCTGCCCTCAGTGTATCCCCGGAGTGGGGTAAACATGTTATGCCTGGGATTGAACCCTGGTCCTTGTGTCTGCCTGAACAGGCTCTTAGTCCACTGAGCTATCTGGCTGGCCCTGTAAAAGTGATTTTAAGTTTCCCCAACCTTCTCTTCATCTAAGTTCTCAGAATAGTAGTACTTAGTGTTTTTTTTTTAAATATTTATTTTTTTTTATTTCATTTATTGTGTGTGTGTGTGTGTGTGGCCAGCTCAGCCCACCAGGGGGCGGGGCTGGCTGGCATGTGGAGCTGGAGGATTGAACCGCGGTCCCTGTGCTTTGCCAAGCTTGTTTCAAGTAGGTGCTTTAGACCACTGAGCCATCTCTCCAGCCCCCAGTGTTTTTATTTTTTATATCAACCAACTTAATTCAAAACAAACGCTGGTAGAAAACACTGTGATGATAAAAACAAAAGACAGTGCCTATTTTTAGATACTACAATCTAGAACAACAAATGTGAAGTTAAATAATTGCTCACAGCCCCAACATGTACCAATAAAAAAATTAAAAGGTGGCTTTTAATGAGATTAATGATTAAATGCAATTTATGCTTCAATCTGCCTCCTCCCAAATCAGCCCTAGTGTTGCAGCAGAATTCAGTGGGTTTTAGAGTTAACTAAGGGAAAGGGGTGGGGAGTGAATTCACCTAGTTTAAATGACTTTTAAAGTGGAGTTAAAAAATAAAAAATAAAGTGGAGTTAAAAAGAAAATGGAGTCTCTCTTGCCATGTCACTAAGCAATAATATACAGTCAAAATTGGCCACCTTAAAAAACTAGTTTTTGTTCCCATAAGGCTAAAAAAATACTCATTAATCCAAAGCCTACTCTCCAATAGGCTTTGTAGAAACTATGGTTCTAAACGTGCTTTCCCTGAAAGAGTGTAAGGAGCAGTGAAGCAAGGGGAGCCTGCAGGCAGATCTCACGCCCAGAGGCCAGGGTGGCTCCTGTACTGCTGCTCTCCTGGGGGACTGGAATCTGCACCTGGTCCCCTGCTTGGCACAGGCCCCAGCACCACTCCCACTGCATCTGGCCTCAGTGAGCTTTACAGGGAGCTTGATGGACCAGCAGAATGTAACAGGGAACCATCAGAAATTTGTCAAATGTATTTATCTAGCCAATAGTTTGCAACAAATTTACTCTCTTGCCCAGATTCATAGCCTGAAGGAAAAACAAAAACCCAAGCAAGCGAAACACTTTAATTACCTCTTTTCAAGTGTCCTACTCAGGGCAGTTACTCACTACATGGGCTATATTACTTTCAGAGACTGAGCATCCCTCATTTTCTTCCCCCTTTTGGGGAGTAGGAGAGAAGGCAGAGTTTAATGTGGGCTATGTTTTCATTTATGAAGTACAATACTAAAAAACAATTGGTAAAAATCAGCCACAGCCAGTTGTGTTGGCACATGCCTGTATCCCCGCACTCAAGAGGCTGAGGCAGGAAGACTGCCACATATTTGATGCCAGCCTGAACTACAAACCAAGACCTTGTCTCAAAAACAAAAACAAATGAACAAAAACCCCATCCATCAGCTACTTTTTAAAAACCAGCTGGCAAAACTGGGCATAGTTATGCCTGCCTGTAATCCCAATGCTCAAAATCAGAGGCTCACACTGAGTTCCAGGCCGGTCTGTACCACATAGGGAGAATTTGTCTATATGTACCTCCCCATACCCCTGTAAACAAAGACAAAAAGCAGGGCGTGGTGCCCATTGATTGTTGCAAGTTTGCAGGGTTACAAAGTGAGCTCAAGGCGAGCCTGAACTGCATACCATGACCCTGTCTCAAACAAAAACAAAAACAAAAAACAGCAGGATCACTAGAGTGGAAGCTGCATAGTGAAACCTTGTACCAAATACATTTAAAAAAAAAAAAAAATCATTCTGGATGTCCAGGAAACTTTTATTTCTTGGTTATTTCACTTATATTTTTATATGGTCCCTGAAATGCCAATCTCGTCTTCATGATTTATGTGCCTCAGTTAAACACTGCTTTTTGGGCCGGGGAGATGGCTCAGTGGAATATGTGCTTCCCTGGCAAGCACAAGGGCCTGAGTTCAATCCCCAATTCCACCAAAAAAAAAAAAAAAAAAGAAAACTAAACACTGCTTTTTGCTATGGGCTGAGCATGCTGGGGGACAGAGAAAAACAAGAATTCATGCTTTGAGACATTGTCTAAAAGGAGTGATAAACGTCCAAACAACTAACTACATGGCAACAGAAAAGCCAATATACATTTTTCATCAAGGCAACAGTGGTGAGGAGCTAGAACTTAAAAAGTTTCTTTGATGGGTCACAGTTGAAACCATTTCATTAAAATACAATTTCATTTATCTGCTACTAGTTTATTTAAACCAATAAAAATGGAGTGCTCGAGGCTGAGGCAGGAGGATCACACTGAGTTCAAGGCCAGCCTGAACCACATAAGAAGATAAGGAGAATCTGTCTCAAATGCACCTCTTTACTCCTCAAAACAGTTGGGGGCCAGGAAGATGGCTCAGTGGAATAAGTGCTTCCCTGGCAAATGTAAGGGCCTGAGTTCAATCCCTGGTTCCACAAAAAAAAAAAAAAAAAAATCAAAAACCAAATCCAGGTGTGGTGGCTCAGGCCTGTAATCACAGCACTTGGGAAGCTGAGGCAGGATTGCTGCTCCATGCAGCAGCCTATATCTGTAATCCCATGTCCTAGTCATTTTTCTCTCGGTGCTGGGACAAATACCTGACACTCAAAATGAATGAAGGAAAGGTTTATTTAGCTCAGTTACAGGTTTCAGTCCATATTAGGCTGGCTCCAAGGCAGAGCAGCACATAGCAGAAAGCAACTTTCAATGACAGTGGCAGAGCAAGAGCACAAAAGGAGAAGCAGCAGCTCAAGCAGCTAACTTCTCTTTCCTCCTTACATTGAAACGCAAATTACCTGCCTGGGGCAGGTGCAGCATCCACACCCACAATAATCAATCACAAACTGCAGAAGCTGCCCCAAGACTACCTGAGGCTTTGAGGCGGACAACTATACACAAACCATAACATCCCACAGGAAGGCTGAGGCAGGAGAATCTCAGTGAATTTGGGGCTAGCAGGAGCTACAAAAAGAGTTCAGCATCAGCCTGAACTGGGCTGGTGAGATGGCTCAGTGGTCTAAAGCACCTATTTAGAACAAGCTTAGCAAAGCACATGGACCACGGTTCAATCCCGCACCACATGCCAGCCAGCCCCATCCCGGGTGGGCTGAGTTGGCCACACACACACACACACACACACATAAACAAATAAATAAATAAATAAAAAAGATCAACCTGAACTACCAAAAACTAAAAATTGAGCATCTCATGTGAGCTCAGTTCTGGGGACACAGCAATCAAGAACTAGCTGTCCTCACAGAGTTTCTCAGCCAGCAAGGAATGTTTCGACAGGCAGTATTTCTGTGTGAAAAGGTTTGGGAAACCAAAACAAATCTAGCCCTGTGTTCTTTAACACTTTCTGTCTTTAATGTCATCTTTGGCCATAAAGTATCCTCATAGGGCAGTGGTGGTGAACCCATGGCACTCGTGCTCAGGGGGCTTTGTTATCACTGCAAGCTCTAACCGGTTCAGTATCACTATGGCTGGGCAGAGAAGTAGCAGTTTTAAAACTAGGAGGAACCACTGAGATTATTTTGTTCCATTAATGTTACAATGTGGGAAAACTGCGTTCAGAGATACACACAGATCTTCAGGTCACAGAGCTGGTTAGTAATTTCTACACAACACAGTGTGAAAGAAGTCTGTTTTGAGGAGCAATAATGATTAAAGCGCTTTATCCCGTCCCAAAGCACAAAGAATTTTTCAGAAACCATCAGAACGACGGTCAAGGAAGGTTCTTGCTACTTTTCTGGCTCTGTTCCCTCAATCTTAACCTCCTGTACTAGGCTGACTATCCCCCACATCTCCTATAACACATGCCCGGGCTGTAAAACTCCTGATTAATGCTGCGGCTGTTGCGAGGCACTGAAAGCAGCGGGCGGTCTCGCTGGGGACCGGTCCAGGTGTCGATGGGTTTTTGGTAAGGTGGAGGGTAGAGCTATGGACGGGGCTGTCTAATCAGCCTTCTGGATGGAATACCTGGCACTGGTAGGTGTCAGAATATTCTATACTGACGATGTGGCGGTGGAGGGAGTGTGCATAAAAGGCAAAGATCAGCCTGTTGGACGACTTGATTCTATTTAAATCAGGAGCTAAACTTCACTAACTCCTCTTCAGATGCTACAACTGCATTTATTTGTGGGATCAGCAGATGGCTCAAGGAGTGAGCTGAAGGCAAATTAGCACAGAGCCACCACTATCCATCAGTTAGTGAGAAATAGTGTGTAATTCTGTCGCCCATAAATAAAGACCCGTCCTGCTGGAGACATCGCGGAAAACGCCTCGCCGGGAAGTCCGAGGCGAGCAGCATAAGACAGAACCCGAAAGTGCTCTCAGTCTCAGAACCAACTCAGCTGCAAACCGACTCGGTTCCGATTCGGGCAAACTCTCACACCTGGCCCAGGCAGTTTCCCACGGTCCCACCGCGAGGCCCACACCCTGCCGCGCCCCGGGAAGCGTCGGACGCCTCCCTCCCTTGCACCTCGCCTTCTGCCTCTCAGTGCCGAGGCTGCCCACGACCCCCGAATTGCCGCACCCTCGCGCCCGCCCGTACCGCTCCTCCAGCGTCCGTCTTCACGCGCCCGATACCGCACCTCGGCCCGGGCACCACCTCCTCCCTCCAGCTCCGCGACTCGGCCCGCGGGCCGCGCTTCAGCCCCCGCTTTCCCGCCCCCGCAACCGGCCTGCACCAATCAACGCTGCTCTCTCCGTCCGTCCAGTGTCCTGTGCCCGTTGCAACCAATCCTTCCTCGAGTTACTGTGAGTGACATGTCTGCACAGCTCTATTATCCAATGACCAGGATGAGTTCCAACGCCCGCCCACCAGGTTAGCCAAGAAGATCCAGGGAAAGCAGATGTTACGCATTGAGATTGCACCTGCTGAGAATTAAACAGCCAACTGTAGGCTTCACCGAGCCTTCTCCGTTCCCCTCTAAGCCTATCACGCGGGAACTCCCGCCTCCCAATCCCCGGAGGAAGATCCGAGCCTGCGGCGCTGGACCGATGCGAGGGGGATCAAAAACGTCTTGTCACCGGTCGCGCGAAATTGTTCAAAGACGGTTTCATTCCAAAGCCCAGGGACAGCGGGCCAAACAGCTTCCCCCACTTGTTTTTCGTGTAGTTTTCTTGTCTTCCATCGAGACCCACATCGTGATAGAAGCGCTTGGGGCGCGGAACACATTTTATTTTATTTACTTTAATGTATTTGGTACAGGGTCTCACTACGCAGCTCGGACTCGTAATGAACCTTTTGTTTTGCAGCCTCCGCAGAGCTGGGATTACCGGCGTGCACCACCACGCCCGGACTCGGTCGCCGCCTCAGCGCGCGAAGGGGCGGGGACGCGCGGCAAGTGGTACCAGCGATCCGGGTCCCTGCGCTTGCCAGGCAGGAGCTAGACCGCTGCGCTATCTCGCCGGCCCTTTATTTGTATTTTTCAGAGCGTGGAAGGGGCTTCGTGTGCAGGGGAAAGGCGGTGGGTAAGGCGCCATCAGGGAACGAGGCCGCCCTGTGCGTGGGGGAGGACATGAGCGCTGACAAGAGTCCGGCCGTTGGGGACGGTTGGCCCCGCGACACCCCACCCCCCGGGGGCCTCGCACGGGACTCCCTTCGCCCTCATTCTGCCCTCTGCTTTACGAGACGCCTGGCTTGTGACTAGCACTCAAACCTGTGTGGAATGAGTGCAGGATTATATCCTTGGTCAATTAGGGAGATGCCTTTGGGCTCTTTTTTAAAAATCTTTTTTTCTGGGGGGCCTGCCCCTTAGCTCAGTTCTTTAAGTGGCTGCTTCGACAAAGCAGTCAGGCTCAGGTTGCTGTGGTTCGATCCCCACAACTCCAGCCAGCCAAACCTGCCCTGAAGGCATTCGGTAAATAAATAAATAAAAATTAAATCCTTAAAATCTTTTTTCATTTAAGAAAAAAGGGGGTGCTGGGGAGATGGCTCAGTAGAATAAGCACTTTCCTGGCAGGCGCAAGGTCCTGAGTTCAATCCCCGGCTCTGCCAAAAAAAAAAAAGTTGAAGGGCCTTAGCCGGGTATGGTTGTGCACACCTGAGAGGCACAGGCTGGAGGATCGTTGCAAGTTCGAGACCAGCCTGGCCTACAGAGTGAATTTAAGGCCAGCCTGAAGCTGCATAATGACACCCTGTCTCAAAAAGGAGAGAAAGAATGAGAGACTCACTGTGGTACCCAAGCCGCCCTCCAATTCCTGCTGCGTTCAAATTATCTTTCTGCCTTAGCCTCTTCAGTAGCTGAGTTTATAGTCATGCCTGAATTCTACTAATTTAACTATAATAAAAATATGTATATGCTTTGAATAAATAGTACATACATATTCTAATGATTCAGAAGGAGCAAGAGGTTATTACAGAAGTTAGTGCCAACACTCTTGCTGAGCTATTCTAACATTATTTTTTTTTTTAAGAGCAGAATACATTTATTGAGAGAAAGAAAGCTCCTATCCAAGAGAGGGACAGGAGGGGGGCCCAAGCAGGTAGTTCACCCTCTAACATTATTTTGATATGCAAGAGTGTTTCGTTTTGATAAACACTTGGCATGAAAACACTAGGTCAAGGAATGTGTGCATTGTTTTTCCATTTGGATGTATATAATTTTGCAAATTCCCTCCCTCCCACTAAGATTTTTCTGATTTTCATTCCATCAGCAATGTATCAAAAGATTTTTGATTTAGTACTGCCTTCCATGGAACTTCAAATGATTTACTTTTTCATCTGTTGCCAGGTGTGGTGGTGCACACCTGTAATCTTGGAACTCTAGAGGGTGAGGCAGGAGACTCCCCAGTCAGGAAGGAAGGAAGGAAGGAAGGAAGGAAGGAAGGAAGGAAGGAAGGAAGACAAAAACTTGTCTGATACTAATAGGTTCTGGCCCTAGCATGAATTACTGAATTAATTATGGTGGTCATCTAATATAGCTGAAGCCCTTAAAACAATAGCTTATCTTCCCAGAGTCCGCCTCTCTCCTTCTTTTCCAACCCAGCCCAGGGTGCAATTTCCTTTCAGCTTTCCCACCACCTCAGAGAAGACCCCAATCAGCTCTTCAAATATTTCTAAACATCCCCCTCAAACTCCACCCTCCTAAAGTCCCTAAAAGCCTCAGGTGTCTTTGTCTCAGGCCAGAGGATCTACCTGAGCCATCTGCCATCGCTCTTCTCCGCGTCTTTAAAGTTAATAAAGGCTTCCTATCTTTCCTATCTCTTTACTGTGTTGCCGAAAAACCTATCAGCTAGCACATATAGAGTGTGTCACCACATCTTGATTTTTGACAGTCTGATAGTTTAACTGCTATCTCATTGCAATTTTTATTTTCATTTCTTTTATTGTAAATAAGGTTTGCTTTTAATGTTTGTGTCACTTGTATTTTTTGTACATTGTTTATATACTTTGTTCATATTTTTGCTTATTGAATCTCTTTAATATGTTGAATTTCTTTTTTTTTCTTTTTTTTTTTTTAAAGTTCTTTTTTTTCTTTGTTTATTTATTTAGTGTGTGTGGCCAGCTCAGCCCACCAGGGGGCGAGGCTGGCTGGCATGTGGTGCTGGGGGATTGAACCGCGGCCCCTGTGCTTTGCTTAGTTTAGCTTGTTCTAAGTAGGTGCTTTAGACCACTGAGCCATCTCACCAGCCCACTGAGCCATCTCACCAGCCCAAATTTCTTTTTAATACTTTAAAAATACTTTCCCCTTCTATTTTCTTGTATGTCTTTTTAGTT